AAAAAAAAAAAAAAAATATATATATATATATATATATATATATATCTCAAACATTGAAGAAGTATAGTTGTTGGAGCCAAGTTTTGTGGGAGGATAATGTGAATGATTCCATGTCAAAAGAGAGCTTGCTGAAAGAGTCACCTGTGAAGGGGACAGTGAAGAAGTGAAGCAGGGTGAACTGTGGTTGAATGAAACAGTCTCAAACCCTAGTATAGCAGTGGTATATTATTTTCATTATGATGCCTAGAAAGTTGTGCCTGATGTGGTTTTGGAAATCATATACACACTAGAGTTTGAGGAAATGCTTTGTAGTAGTACTTCTTGTTGGTGCTGTTTTATTTTCGAAATCAAGATTGAAATTTATCAGAGAAATGGATATGACAGTAAACGATAGCTGATGTTTTATTTCAGGTTACTGCTGTAGTTTTATTGTATCTTGAGACGGAGTCTCACTCTGTCACCAGGCTGCTGGAGTGCAGTAGTGCGATCTTGGCTCACTGCAACCTCCACCTCTTGGGTTTAAGCAATTCTCCTGCCTCAGCCTCCTGAGTAGCTGGGACTACAGGCACATGCCACCATGCCCAGCTAATTTTTGTATTTTTTAATTGAGATGGGGTTTCACCATGTTGGCCAGGATGGTCTCAATCTCTTTACCTCATGATCCGCCCGCCTCAGCCTCCCAAAGTGCTGGGATTACAGGCGTGAGCCACTGCGCCCGGCCTTATTGTGTTTTTATTGGGAAACTTTTAGAACATATTTCTGGAAAGGCCAGAAAGTAGACTATCAAGTTTCTTGTCTTGTTTTCCTTTTTTCTCTTTAGGTATATTAGGAAATAAACAGTCCATAAATCTTGCTTCCTTTTGTCTCTAGCTTCCTCCTCATGTCTTTCTTCCTTTTTCTTTCTGCCCCTGCAGGCTCAGAACAGCCTGGCCGACCTGGCAGTCACGGATATGTTCGCTCCCCTTCCCCTTCAGTAAGAACTCAGGAGACCATGTTGCAACAGAGACCCAGTGTTTTCCAAGGAACCAATGGAACCAGTGTAATCACACCTTTGGATCCAACTGCTCAGCTACGAATCATGTCAGTCTCTTGTACACATTTTGACAAAAGTCTCTTGCATATACATTTTAAAATTTGTGACTGCAGTAGTCTAAGTATAGTCATACTTTTCTCCCTGTGCCACAAAGCCTTTTTTTTTTTAATTGCAGTTTGTCTTTCCATCTCCCTACCGCATTCCCAGTAAATGGTCTTCCTTTCACAGAGCTGTGATTTGGTTTTATTTACAGGCCACTGCCTGCTGCGGGCCCTTCAATAAGCCAAGGTCTGCCATCCTCCCGTTACAACACTGCTGCGGATGCCCTGGCCGCTCTTGTGGATGCTGCAGCTTCTGCACCCCAGATGGATGTGTCCAAAACAAAAGAGAGTAAGCATGAGGCTGCCAGGTTAGAAGAAAATTTGAGAAGCAGGTCAGCAGCAGTTAGTGAACAGCAGCAGCTAGAGCAGAAAACCCTGGAGGTGGAGAAGAGATCTGTTCAGTGTTTATACACTTCTTCAGCCTTTCCAAGTGGCAAGCCCCAGCCTCATTCTTCAGTAGTTTATTCTGAGGCTGGGAAAGATAAAGGGCCTCCTCCAAAATCCAGATATGAGGAAGAGCTAAGGACCCGAGGGAAGACTACCATTACTGCAGCTAACTTCATAGACGTGATCATCACCCGGCAAATTGCCTCGGACAAGGATGCGAGGGAACGTGGCTCTCAAAGTTCAGACTCTTCTAGTAGCTGTATGTATCTCAATCTGAGTTTCACAATGTGATGTCTGAGTAAAGAATTACTTTTTTCTTTAGGTCAAGCAAACTCTATGGTATTTAAAAATCCTAATGCTTGATAGTAAATGTAATGCAAAAATGTATCTTTTGCTGTTTTTATGATTAAATATCCCCAGTTTCCTACATATAAGCATATCAATGTATTTTCCACAAGAAAACTGTACCATTTATGTAATTAAATTTGAAAAGTAGAAAGCAGACCTTATTAACCTATTTAGGCATTTGAAAGGTAATGGATATATGGCCAGGCCCTGTGCTACTGAGGTGCAATTTCTCAGGAAGCATTTGCTAGGACATGGTTTTATATTTATGCCAATACCCCAAAGCCTCGAATATCCTTTTTCTAAGACACAGATTTTTAAAAGATTTTTTAAGAGAGTACCTTATTATTGGTGATTGGTATTTACATTGCATCTTTCTTGCAAGTTGGATTTTGTTCAAATCTGGTTAGTCATTGTGATGGCTACCCTGCAAATCTGATACTACATTAAAATGCTAGAAAAGTTATATTTTAAATTTTCTTTTAAACTACTGCTTCAATTCTATGTAGAATTGCAGAAAGAACAAGCAGGTATTTAAATAAGCATCTACGAAGAAGTAATTTAATCCTGTATAGTCATGTTTCTGTTATCTCCATTGAATAAATTTAGTAGTGTTAGAGATCATGAAAAAAATTATTTCTTATGCTCCAGAATGCAATGTGCAGTTCCCTTTAAAAATATCCACTAGTTTAATTATAATTTGTTTGGGTCACATCTACCCCATTGGTGAGGCTTTTAGAGAGAGAGGATAGTAGTGTGTAGACAAAAGACTTCTTTTAGCCTGAGATTAGGAAAATCTGCAATATAGATTTTCTGCTTGCAGAAAATTGCTAGCTGAGAAAGAAATATTTTGCAGTTGTATGAATAGGGTTTTTGAAGGGAAGTCACCAGCACACTGGGAGATCTCACCCAGGCTCATTGAATGGTATAACACACGGATTCCTTAATCACTGGATTAAACATTTCTTTTCCGTTTGCATCAGAAACCAAATCTTGCTCTAAAAATTTGGTTTTCAGAAGGTGTGAAAACAGAAAGTTCATCTTTTCTGAGTGTCCATGTCTCTGTATGTGGTAGTCTTTTTTTATCACTGGTCAGTGAATTTCATGATGTCCACAGGCTATGTACAGTTCTTCAGTGAGGTTTTCAGTTTGACTCTTGAGAGCCTCCCTAATCCTGAAGGTGAAGTTCATTTTCATAGTCTTTCCCCTTAAGGCTTCAAGAGCAATGTGAACACAGTTTGGAATTAGACTTACTGAGTGAATACTGGAAGTTGTAAGCAGAATTAGGATGTTGAATACATAAAGAGTGATGAGTAACAGTGGATACAAAAGTCACAAATTACTGTAAACTACTTAGAATATAGATATTTTAGTTTCTCAATGATCGTTTGTGACCCATTTATCAAGTTTCCAATCTCCTAAGTGTACTAAAACCCAAGTAGTGGCAGTTTCCATGACCTGGTGGGGTAGGAAGGACTGTTGAGTACCAGAGGAGCAGGTGGTGGCTAGGGAGCACAGTTCATCCCCACCTGCTACATCTGTGTCCAGCCAGGCCCATGTACCCTTTGGAACTCTGACAGTGCTCTCAGATTCTGTAGTGTAGTTTGTGGATGTGAAGAGCCCTCTGAATGCAGAAGTTCCTGAGCAGGTGGTTACATCTGCCTCTCCCCAACTGTCAGCTATGAGGCCATAGCAGGACTGTGAGAAGCTGCCTGTCAGCCCCACCACTTAGCCCCTCTGCGTCTTAGAGGACTCTGATGTGGGCATCCTCCAGAGTTGGTTGACATCTTCCCTTTCTGGGAATATACTTCACTTCAGATATTCCCTACCATTTCTGGTTATTTTCACAATGTAACACGGTTCTAAAAAATAATTACTATTTGGAGTAACTGTTAGCAAATAACTGTTAGCAATACTCCAGTTATTTGAGAAAATCGTTATATGGTGTTATGTAATCCATAGCTTTAAAATCATTATGGTAGTGAATGAAACAGCTTTATAGCCTCAGTGTTTTTCTAAGAACAGAATGTCCCACAGAATTGGAATTATTGGAATCAATTATTGAGATCTACTCCCTCATTTGTTAATTAATTTATTCTCATAAATGTTTCCCTGGTGATTTCTTTTCCAGCTCCCAGGAAAATATCATAAATCTGTTCTCTGTTCCAGCTCATTTCAGTGTTTATTATTGGGTGTTAAAACATGTCTGAAAGCCCGTAAAACTTCAGAAAACCGTCATTAACCTGGAATACCAATGAACGTGGCTGATCAGAATTGAAATATGCTATAGGTTTGAAGAACTTAGTCTTTAGAAACTTTTCCTAGGATTAGTTTTAAAATCAGATTTTCTTTTCTTAAAGTATCTTCTCACAGGTATGAAACACCTAGCGATGCTATTGAGGTGATAAGTCCTGCCAGCTCGCCTGCACCACCCCAGGAAAAGCTGCAGACCTATCAGCCAGAGGTTGTTAAGGCAAATCAAGCTGAAAGTATGTCTTTTTAAGCCACCATTTACGTGTTTTCTTATTTGCGTTTATCATTTGCTTCTAATTATCTGTCTAGACCATGTTAAAAAATAACTTGTTTTGTTTAAGGTAATCTTATACGAGCCTGCTTTAGAAACATTTAACATTGCACTAGTGAAAAACAACTTTTCAGCTATCGATTCTTTATTTTTTAATTATACAGAAAATAATTTATATTAAATTTGTTTGCGTACTTCTGCATTTATGTTTTATTCTATTAGTCCTCAGACTTCTGTCAGTGAATAATATTTTTTCCAAAATTAAGATAAGTTCTTTGTTTGCAGCTATGTACCACACCCTTTCATGTGTTCTTCTGAATTATATTTAACCTTTGATAATGAGTGAAAGGCATGGGCATTCCTGGAGTAAGACATCTATATGTTCTCTACTAGATGATCCTACCAGACAATATGAAGGACCATTACCTCACTATCGACCACAGCAGGAATCACCATCTCCCCAACAACAGTTGCCCCCTTCTTCACAGGCAGAGGGAATGGGGCAAGTGCCTAGGACCCATCGGCTGATCACACTTGCTGATCACATCTGTGTAAGTTTTTCATTATTCTTATTAATTTTTCTTTTTTGATCATGCAGAAAGCAAATTTCATGTAGAAGAAGAAAATTATAATAAAGATATCTAGATTTCTTAATACTTTTTTTGTAAGTACTCAGTGAGTTTTACCACTTCCTTCTTTTCTCATTCACAGCAAATTATCACACAAGATTTTGCTAGAAATCAAGTTTCCTCGCAGACTCCCCAGCAGCCTCCTAATCCTACATTCCAGAACTCACCATCCTCTTTGGTGTCTACACCTGTGAGGACTAAAACGTCAAACCGTTACAGCCCAGAATCCCAGGTTCAGTCTGTCCATCATCAAAGACCAGGTTCAAGAGTCTCTCCAGAAAATCTTGTGGACAAATCCAGGGGAAGGTATGATCTTTATTTCAAATTATATATAAATTTCCCAACAGTGAAACAAATGGAATGTATCTACAGGATAAGGAATGTGTTTCTCACAACTAAAGTTCGTTTGCCTTTATTCCTAGGAAATTGTAAATAAGGCTTTTTCTCTTGAATATTATTCTTAGAATGTCCACTGTCTTGGCATTTGGTACTGCGTCTTTTTAATGTATATTCAAAAGTTGCATGGTTTGTTGGTTTGTAAAGACAGTTAAGAAGAATGTGTAATTTGGTAGTGGTTTAGGGACACTTGAGTGGCTCTTCCGTATAATACCTCTCATATTTATCTGTCTCAATGGTTTCTACTGGATCAGTATCAGTAGAGGTTTAAGAAGGTGATATTGGCCGGATACAGTGGCTCATACTTATAATGCCAGCACTTTGGGAGGCTGAGGTAGGAGGATTGCTTGAGCCCAGGAATTTGAGACCAGCCTGGGGAACACAGTGAGATCTCACCTCTACAAAACTTAAAAAAAAAGGTGACATTAAATAAAGGAAAGGGAAGTCAATAGCGGCATCATGGGTGGAAACATGTTATATGGCAGGGCTCTCTGATAAAGAGCATATCTTCTTATATTCTGTGATTGGTTAAAATAAAGTGGACACAGGATATTTGCTTCAAAGTGGTAGACTAAATATTAGCATGTGTTACATTATCACTACCAAGTACAAAGGGAAGTAAATTTAAGAATGCTGAGAAGGCCAGGCACAGTGGCTCATGCCTATAATCCCAGCACTTTGGGAGGGCAAAGTGGACAAATCATCTGAGGTTAGGAGCTCAAGACCAGCCTGGTCAACATGCTGAAACCCTGTCTCTACAAAATACAAAAAAATTAGCTGGGCATAATAGCCTGTAATCTTAGCTACTCTGGAGGCTGAGGTGGAAGAATCGCTTGAACTTGAGAGAGGAGGCAGAGGTTACATTGAGCCGAGATTGTGCCACTGCACTCCAGCCTGGGTGACAGAGCTGAAAAATGCTGAGAATAAGACAGCTATTAGCAGATCAAAGATTCTGGCAGATACCCCATAGATATAGAGGACAGGTGAGCCAGAGTAGTGGAAGCCATGGCTCAGAGCCTGAAAAACAGAAATTTGTAGCAGAAGTATTCTCCAGCCTAGCTACCAAGCCATCAAAGTAAGCAAAGAGCAGAAAGAAAAATATAGATAAGAAGCTAGATGGTCTTCTTTTTTGAAAAACATTTTGTTGTGGAAGTTTTCAAATACATACGAAAGTAAGAGAGAACAATATAATACACTTCTAAGTTTCCATCACCCAATTTTGGTAATCATCAGTGTATGATGAGTTTTGTTTCATTTTTATCCACGCTTGGCCTGACTCCCAAACTGGATAATTTTGAAGTAAATTTCGTACTTAGTCATTAGAAGAAGTTGGATAACTTTAAGGATAAGATGAAAGCACATTTATTCTCTTTTGGCCAAAACAAAACAAACAAAAAAAAAGAAATGCAATTATCAAGGAAAAATTGAAAACTCTGTAGTAGTGTCATGGTCCATTCCTGATGAAAATGTTTACATAATCTGTGGTGTTTGAAAACAGCATCAACTGATTTTTATTTATTTATTTATTTAACTTTCATTTTAAGTTCAGGAGCACATGTGCAGGTTTATTATATAGGTAAACTTGTGTCGTGGCAGTTTGTTGTAAAGATTATTTTGTCACCCAGGTATTAAGCCTGAACTCATGTTATTTTTTCCTTAGCCACCGCCTCCTCCCAACCTCCACCCTCTGATAGGCCTCAGTGTGTGTTTTTATCCTCTATGTGTCTGCGTGTTCTCATCATTTAGCTCCCACTTATAAGTGAGAACATGTGGTATTTGGTTTTCTGTTCCTGCGTTAGTTTGCTAAGGATAAGGGCCTCCAGCTCCATCCATGTCCCTGAAAAGGACAGGAGCTCATTCTGTTTAATGGCTCCATGGTATTCCGTGGTGTATATGTACCACATTTTCTTTATCCAGTCAATCACTGATGGGCATTTGGGTTGATTCCATGTCTTTGCTATTGTGAATAGTGAGTGCTACAGTGAACATACACACATATGTGTCTTTATAATAGAACGATTTATATTTCTTTGGGTATATACCAGTAATGGGATTGTGGGTTGAATGGTATTTCTGTATTTAGGTCTTTGAGAAATCAACACAGTGTCTTTCATGGTGGTTGAACTAATTTACACTCCCACCAACAGTGTATAAGTGTTCCATTTCTCCACAACCTTTCCAGGATCTGTTATTTTTTCACTTTTTAATAGCCATTCTGATGGCGTGAGATGGTGTCTCATTGTGGTTTTGATTTGCATTTCTCTCTCTTTTATTTATTTATTTATTTTTTTGAGACAGAGTCTTGTCGTGTCGCCAAAGCTGGAGTGCAGTGGTGCAATATTAAGTAACTGTAACCTCTGCCTCCTGGGTTCAAGCTATTCTCCTGCCTTAGCCTCCCAAGTAGCTGGGATTACAGGTGCCTGCCACCATGCCCGGCTAATTTTTGTACTTTTAGTAGAGATGGGGTTTCACTATGTTGGCCAAGCTGGTCTTGAACTCTGATCTCAGCTGATCCACCTGCCTCAGCTTCCCAAAGTGGTGGGATTACAGGCGTGAGCCCCTGCGCCTTGTTTGATTTGCACTTCTCTAATGGTCAGTGATACTGAGCTTTTTTTTTTTTTCCATATGCTTCTTGGCTGCATTTATGTCTTCTTTTGGAAAGTATCTGTTCATGTCCTTTGCCTACTCTTTTTTTGTTTGCTTTGAGACAGAGTCTCATTCTTGTTGCCCAGGCTGGATTTCAGTGGTGTAGCCTCAGCCTCCCAGGTAACAGGTGATTCTCCCACCTCAGCCTCCCAAGTAGCTGGGATTACAGGCACATGCCACCACACTCACTTTGCCCACTCTTTAATGGAGTTGTTTTTTTTCTTAAATTTGTTTAAGCCGTTTATACATTGCTGGATATTAGACCTTGTCAGATGCATAGTTTGCAAAATTTTTCTCCCATTCTGTAGATTGTCTGTTCACTCTGTTGTTAGTTTCCTTTGCTGTGCAGAAGCTCTTTAGTTTAATTAGATCCCACTTGTCAATTTTTGCTTTTGTTGCAGTTGTTTTCGTTAGAAATCTTTGTCTCTGCCTATGTCCTGAAAGGTATTTCCTAGGTTATCTTCCAAGGTTTTTATAGTTTTTTGTTTTTGTTTTTGCTTTTTTTAAAACATTTAAGTCTTTAGTCCATCTTGAGTTAATTTTAAAATATGGTATAAGGAAGGGGTACTTTTTTTTTTTTTTTTTTTTTTTCTTTGAGACGGAATTTAGTCTTGTTGCGCAGGCTGGAATGTAGTAGCGTGATCTCAGTTCACTGAAACCTCTGCCTCCCAGGTTCAAGTGATTCTCCTGCCCCAGCCTCCTGAGTAGCTGGGATTACAGGCACCCACCACCATGCCCAGCTAATTTTTGTATTTATAGTAGAGACAGGGTTTCACCAGGTTGGCCAGGTTGGTCTCAAACTCCTCACCTCAGGTGATCCACCCACCTTGGCCTCCCAAAGTGCTGGGATTACAGGCAAGAGCCACCCCCCCCAGCAAGAAGGGGCCCAGTTTTAATCTTCTGCATGTGATATCTAGTTATCCCAGCACCATTTATTGATAGGGAATCTTTTCCTCATTGCTTGTTTTTGTCAGGTTTGTAAAAAATCAGATAGTTGTAGGTGTGAGACCTCATTTATGGGTTCTCTATTCTGTTCCATTGATCTGTGTGTCTTATTTTTGTACCAGTACCATGCTGTTTTGGTTACTATAGTCCTGTATTATAGTTTGAAGCAGGTAGTGTGACGCCTACAGCTTTGTTCTTTTTGTTTAGTATTGCCTTGGTTGTTTGGGCTCTTTTTTTTGGATCTATATGAATTTTTAAATTGTTGTTTTTTAGTTCTGTGAAGAATGTCCTTGTTAGTTTAATAGGAATAGCATTGAATCTGTAAACTGCTTTGGGCAGTGTGGCCATTTTAACAATATTGATTATTCCTATCCATGAGCATGGAATGTTTGTTCATTTGTTTATGTCATCTTTTATTTTTTTTAGAAGTGTTTTGTAGTTCTCCTTGCAGAGATCTTTCACCTCCCTGGTTAGCTGTATTCCTAGGTATTTTATTCTTTTTGTGGCAGTTGTGAATCAAATTGCATTCCTTACTTGGCTGTCGGCTTGACTCTTGTTGGTGTATAGGAATGCTAGTGATTTTTTGCATATTGATGTTGTACCCTGAGACTTTGCTGAAGTTGTTTATCAGCTTTAGGAGCTTTGGGGCTGAGTCTATGGAGTTTTCTAGATAGAGGATTATATCCTCTGCAAACAGAGATAGTTTGACTTCCTTTCTTCCTATTTGGATGCCCTTTCTTTCTTTCTCTTGCCTGATCACCCTGGCCATGATTTCCAATAGGATGTTGAATAAAAGTGGTGACAGAGGGCATCCTTGTCTTATGCTGACTTTCAAGAGGAACACTTCCAGCTTTCCCCATTCAGTATGATGTTAGCTGTGGGTTTTTATTTATGGCTCTTTTATTATGTTGAGGCATCCTTCTTTAATACCTAGTTTACTGAGAGTTTTTAACATTAAAGGGTACTGAATTTTATTGAAAGCCATTTCTGAATCTCTTGAGATCTGTGTATATTGAACCAACCTTGCATATTAGGGATAAAACTACTTCATTGTGGTGGATAGCTTTTTTGTTTGTTTTTTGTTTTTTTTTCTTTGAGGCAGAGTCTCGCTCTGTTGCCCAGGCTGGAGTGCAGTGGTGCTATCTCGGCTTGCCACAACCTCTGCCTCCTGGGTTCAAGCAATTCTCCTGCCTCAGCCTCCCAAGTAGCTGGGATTACAAGTACGTGCCACCATTCCTGGCTAATTTTTAAATTTTTTGTAGAGATGGGGTTTCACTGTGTTGGCCAGGCTGGACTCAAACTCCTGACCTCGTGATCCACCCGCCTCGGCCTCCCAAAGTACTGGGATTACAGGTGTGAGCCACCATGCCCAGCGGATAAGTTTTTTAATGTCCTGCTAGATTTGGTTTGCCAGTATTTTTTTGAGGATTTTTGCATCGACGTTCATCAAGGATATTGGCCTGAAGTTTTCTTTTTTTGTTGTTGTGTCTCTGCCACGTTTTGGTATCAGGACGATGCTGGCCTCAGAATGAGATAGGAAGGGTCCTTCCTCAATGTTTGGAGGAGTATTTTCAGCAGGAATGGTGTCAGCTCTTCTTGTACATCTGGTAGAATTCAGCTGTGAATTTGGCCATGGGCTTCTTTTCGGTAGTAGGCTATTTATTACTGACTCAATTTCAGAGCTCATTATCGCTCTCTTCAGGGAATCAGTTTCTTCCTGGTTCAGTTTTGGAAGGGTGTATGTGTTCAGAAATTTATCCATTTCTTCTAGATTTCCTAGGTTTATATGCATAAAGGTGTTCACAATATTCTCTGATGGTTGTTTGTATTTCTGTGGGGTCAGTGGTAAGACTCCCCTTGTCATTTCTGATTATGTTTACTTGAATCTTTTCTGTTAATCTTAGCTAGTGGTCTGTTTAATTTTTTTTAAAAACCAGATCCTGAATTTGTTGATCTTTTGAGTGTTTTTTTTTTGTGTGTGTCTCAGTCTCCTTCAGTTCAGCTTCAGTTTTGGTTATTTCTTGTCTTCTGCTAGCCTTGAGATATGTTTGCTCTTGGTTATGTTAACTTGTTAACTTGAGATCTTTCTAACTTTTTGATGTGGCCATTGAGTGCCATAAATTTCCCTCTTAACACTGCCTTAGCTGTGTCCCAGAGATTCTGGTATGTTATATCTTTGTTCTCATTAGTTTCAAAGAACTTGCTTTCTGCTTTAATTTCTTTATTTACTTAACAGTCATTCAGGAGCAGGTTACTCAATTTCCATGTAATTGTATGGACTGATTTTTATAAGCAAAACACAGAGGAGTTTCTCTGTAGTTCTAAAAAAGGATGTGATGCAGTAAATCAACAAATGGTTGACCGATATTGGGAGGTGGAGTTTGCATAGGAAAAAGAGGTAGAAGTAAGGGTATGTGTGCTAATTTCTTCATTTTTAAAAAGAATATGTAAAAGGCCTGGCCAGATGAGGTGGCTCACGCCTGTAATACCAGCACTTTGGGAGGCCAAGGTGGGTGGATCACGAGGTCAGGAGTTCAAGACCAGCCTGGCCAATATGGTGAAACCCCATATCTACTGAAAATACAAAAATTATCTGGGTGTGGTGCACTTGTATTCCTAGCTACTTGGGAGGCTGAGGCAGGAGAATCATTTAAACCCTGAAGGCGGAAGCTGCAGTAAGCTGAGATCATGCCGCTGCACTCCAGCCTGGGCAACAGAACGAGACTCTGTCTAAAAAAAAAAGAAAGAAAATATCAAAGGCCAAAGTATGCTATGTAAAGTTAAAATGGGCAAAATTAAAATAAAATGGGCAAGCCAGCAGGTTGGCTGACACTTGTAATCTCAGTGTACTGGGAGGCCAAGGTGAGAGGATCGCTTGAGATCAGGGGTTTGAGACCAGCCTAGGTAACATAGTGAGACCCCCATCTCCACAAAAAAACTAAAACATAAAATTACCTAGGAATGGTGGCGTGCACCTGTAGTCCCAGCTACCTGGGAGCCCGAGGTTAGGAGGATCGCCTGAGCCCAGAAGTCAAGGCTACAGTAAGCAGGGATCGTACTACTGCACTCTAGCCTGGGTGACAGAGGGAGACCCTGTCTCAGAAAAATAAAAATAGGCTGGGCACGGTGGCTCATGCCTGTAATCCCAGCACTTCGGGAGGCCCAGGTGGGCGGATCACTAGGTCAGGAATTTGAGACCAGCCTGGCCAACATAGTAAAATCCTGTCTCTACCAAAAATACAAAAAAAAAAAATTAGCCGGGCATGGTAGCGCACACTTGTAATCCCAGCTACTTGGGAGGCTGAGGCAAGGAGAAACTCTTGAAACTGGGAAGCAAAGGTTACAGTGAGCCAAGATCACACCACTGCACTCCAGCCCCAGTGACACTGTAAGACTCCAACTCAAATAAAAATTAAATTAAAATAGGCAACTACAGAGAAGATAAATTCGTCATCATTCATGGAAGAGAGTTGACAGATACTGTTTCAAGTTTGATAAATTAAAAAGTACATATTTAAGATTATTTAAAGTTTTGGAGGTAAATACCAAAGCAACTAAAAAAAAATGTGGCTATCTTGAACAACTGGAAGGGACTGATTGGGAAGGGCCATAACAAATCATATTATAATTTTGCTTAAGTATAACTGTCATCATTCCAGATGTTGAAAGTCACAGGTGGCTTTAATATTCATAATCACTATGTCAAAAAATTTTAGGGGGCCAGGCGTGGTGGCTCACGCCTGTGATCCCAGTACTTTAGGAGTCCAAGGTGGGTGGATCACTTGAGGTCAGGAGTTTGAGACCAGCCTGGCCAACGTGGTGAAACCCTGTCCCTAATAAAAATACAAAAATCAATCAACCTGTAATCCCAGCTACTCGGAAGGCTGAGGTACTAGAATCCCTTTAACCTGGGAGGCGGAGGTTGTAGTGAGCCAGGATTGTGCCACTGCACTCCAGCCAGGATGACAGAAGGAGACTCTGTCTTAAAAAAAAAAGAGAGAGAGAGAGAGAGAGAGAGGATGTGGGGTGAAGTATAATTTCCAATACTTTTGGACCCTGAGGTGGGAGGATTGCTTGAGCCCAGGAATTTGAGGCCAGCAACATAGTGAAACCCCCCGTCTCTACAAAAAATTTAAAAGGAGCCACACCGACATAATAAAACATATAATAAAAACATGAGCTAGGCATGGCAGTGCATGCCTGTAATCCCAGGTACTTGGGAGATGGAACTGACAGGATTACTTGAGCTCAGATATTTGAGGCTGCAGTGAGCTATGATTGTTTGTATACTTGTACTCCAGCCTGAGCAACAGAGTAGGACCCCATCTCTAAAAAAATAAAAATAGTAATAATAAGATAAACGGGCCAGGCAGAGTGGCTCATGCCTGTAACCCTAGCACTTTGGGAGGCTGAGGTGGGCAGATCACCTGAAGTCAGGAGGCCTGGCCAACATAGTAAAACCCTGTCTCTACTAAAAATACAGAAATTTTGCTGAGTAGTAGCTAATAAGAAAAAGAAAAAAAAGGAAATTAAAAAAAAATACAAAAATTAGCTAGCGTGGTGGCACTTGCCTGTAATCCTAGCTACTTGGAAGCCTGAGGTAGGAGAATTGCTTGAACCTGGGAGGCAGAGGTTGCAGTGAGCCAAGATCATGCCACTGCACACCAGCCTGGGCAGCAAAGCCAGACTTTGTCAAAAAAAAAATAAATAAATAAAAATAAATGGTGGGAACTAAACAGTGTGTCTGTCGTATATTGTTCTTATCAAATAATATCCAGAGAAAAAATATAAAATTGCAGAGAACACCTCTGCCATAATATAGTGTAACTAAAACCTGTGTTGACTCATCTGATAAAACTTCTTGGGTATCATTTTAGTACTGAAGTCCTTTATCTTTAACTTGATGATGAAGAAACTGGTCAGTCATGACTCAAAATAGGAAAACCCTTGAGGGTTCACCTGGACTAAGGAGCCAAGGGTGGGATGGCATCTGACGTTGAAACACACGCGGAGCCTCAGGACGCAGCTGCTGCTGCTGCCTGGGCAGCCCTGTCTGATGACATGGGCACTCGTGGGTCAAGTGGCAGTAACAGAGTGTTTTATTTTTTTTATAACTATGTATATAGTGAATACCCGAAGCAACTTTTTTACTGACAGAAATTGGCAGCTTTTGCTCTTTCTTCTGAATGAAGTCATAAGTTAAGCAGTTTGTTTAGGTAAGTCCTAGGTACATCTTTGAAACAGAATCTAATATTTTATGTATTATATTAGTAGGCCTGGAAAATCCCCAGAGAGGAGTCACATCTCTTCAGAGCCCTACGAGCCCATTTCCCCACCCCAGGTTCCAATTGTACATGAGAAACAGGACAGCTTGCTGCTCCTGTCTCAGAGGGGCTCAGAGCCTACAGAGCAGAGGTAAGTGTACGTCCTAGTGACAGCACTGATTCACGGCGCGGGTGCTCATGCTTTAACATTTCCTTAAGTTAGTGCCGTTTTTCTACTTTGGGCTTTTATGTCTGGATGGGATTCTCAGAGTATCATTTGTCTGTTTTCCTAGTGATCTAATGCTAGTGGATTTTAGCAAAAAGAAAACATTCACAATATCATAATATTTAAATGATTAGAAAATATTTGTTCATTATTCTTTTTGAAATTAAATCTTTCTAGATAGTTTTTTTGTTTTTTTTTTTTTAATGTTTTTTGTCTAGGGGGAAGTGTCACACATTGATTCAGCCAACATTTGAATGCTTATTGTACACCAAGCGCTGTGGACTCTGCATGGATTTTATCTTACATCTTTCTAGCCCTGACCTCAATCCTGTTAATTATTAAATTATTATCCCCATTTGGATTAGATGCCTTTGAGTTGGCTCCTTTCCAGTAAGTCTCCATACCTCCACCTAAGTGATTTGTCTAAAACCCATGCAGAATCCAGCAGCCAGTCTTTAGCATGGCATCTGAGTTCTTGCATGACCAGGTTTATGCTGCCTGTTCAGCTTCACTTCCCACTGCCTCACCCCTACACTGGAGTCTCTGTCCATATCATTTTGCTTATTATTCCCTGAATTCCTTTCTGTCCATACTTGTGCAGTTTGCCTAGCACGGAACACCCTCTGGTGATGTGCCAAGTGCCAGACATGCCCCTTGCTCATGGTCATACTGATACTAATGGGGAAGACCAGTTTTAAACTAAAGTCTTTCTAACTCCAAATTCTAGTGCATTTCTTACAATGTGTTGCTCCTAATTTATTGCATTTATTCTTAGGCAGCTAAGTAGATATTGCTACTTTTCAATGAAATGAAGAAAATCCATTTTTGGAGAGGGAGTGATATTCAATTTCATTATGCGTTTATATTTTTCCCCCTATGTTTGTGAGTTTCTTGAGGACAGGGACCATGTCTTATTCCTATTCCTGACACCTTAATTGTCTTTCTTGGCATAAAGTAAGTGTTCTTATGTTTGAATGATGAATGAATCCACATGACTGGATTAGGTTGTCCGTAACCTGTATTCTCTGTTCTAATCTCTGGCTCTACCTAGATCCTTGGTGGCCTCGAGCTGTTAGGGGAAAGTTGTTTTTTAAAATGTGTATAAACATAAAACTCTTTATGTTAAACTCAGCTCGTTTGTTAGGTGTCTTGAAATGACTGTAACAAATAGGCAGTTTTATTCCTCTACTATCCCTGTTGGATTCCATTCCAACTGTTGATTGCTTAGATCTGAGTTCTTGCTGTTTTATAGGCAAGCATGCTATTATAATTTTAGTGTACTTAAAACTAATTCAGTATAATAGTTTGCAGTTTATGTGGCAACCATGAATATATCAGTGTTTGTGCTGTTAAGCAGAATCATGGTAAGCTGTTTGAATTTTCCTATTAATATTCATTTGCTGCTGCTTCATTCCTTCCTAAGAATTTCTACTCTAGATTATCTCCATTCTAATTCTAACTTTATGATTTCATTTTGAGAGCTAAATCATTTGACTGTCCTCAAATGATGTACTAAATGGCTTTTGATTACATACGGTTTCTTAGGGCTGTAATCACAAACACGGGACAAGGAGGCAGTAGTTTCCTAAGTACTCTCTGACTGTTGTTATCATTGATAGAAATGTCCCCAGGATTAGGAGTACGTGGTTGTAATATACTTAACTTTGGCCCTAACAGGAATGATTCCCGCTCACCAGGGAGTATAAGCTACTTGCCTTCATTCTTCACCAAGCTTGAAAACACATCACCCATGGTTAAATCAAAGAAGCAGGAGATTTTTCGTAAGTTGAACTCCTCTGGTGGAGGTGACTCTGATATGGGTAAGTGGGATTTCTTTCATGAACCTCAAATAAAACATGCATTAATAATGATATCTCTAGTGTTGCCTTTCCTATAATGCTTGACTTTGAAGGCTCTTTACCAGGCAGCTGTCCAACACATCTGATCCTAGCATTCCTTCTCAAGTGCCTCCAGCCCATGAAGAGTTCTAATGAGGAAGCAGGAGCTCGCTCCTTTCTGAAGTTGTGCTGTTTCTCTTTGAACAAATGCTGTGTCTTCTAGGTTACTTTTCCTTATAGGGGACTGGATTAACTCTCCGTAGTTTTTCTTTCTCCCCTACCCGTGAGTCTTACTTTTGTCCATTTGGGCCCATCCCGACAGATATTTGAAGACATGTCCTTCAGGGGTCATTTCAATCAGTGTCCCCAGTTTCATCATCTGTTTATCACATGTCCTCATTATGAGTACCCCTACCATCTCAATTATTCTCCACCAAAAACGTTTAGCCTAGCCTTTTACCAGGTTCCAAGTAATACAGAATAGAGTAGTGTAATATGATATATGCTGAATTCATCTTTTTTTTTTTTTTTTTTTTTTTTTTTTTTTTTTTTTTTTTTTTTTTTTTTTTTTTTTTTTTTGAGACGGTCTCACTCTGTTGCCAGGCTGGAATGCAGTGGCGCAATCTCAGCTCACTGCAACCTCTGCCTCCTGGGTTCAAGCGATTCTCCTGCCTCAGCCTCCCCAAGCAGGTGGGACTACAGGTGGTGCACCACCATGCCCAGCTAATTTTTTTGTATTTTTAGTAGAGACAGGGTTTCACCATGTTGGCCAGGATGATCTTGGTCTCTTGACCTCGTGATCCACCTGCCTCGGACTCCCAGAGTGCTGGAGTTACAGGTGTGACATCATTTTTAAAGTAGCCTAAAACTGTATTAGCTTTTTTGGTTACAATGTTATAGTGTACTTAGTTCGAATGTTGATGTCAAGGTCTTGGGCTACTATTAATCCACACCTTGCCCTTGCTCTACTTTTGCAATAACTAGCTCCATGTACAGGACAAGTCCAAGTCTGTCTGTGCTTGCTCCAGTCCAGCTATTTTTTCTACCTTACCAGTGTCTTTCTGGACTTCACTTGAGTCATTCACTATTCATAAGCAACTCTGATAAACTCACAGTGTAAAAATATAACATTGGCCAGGCACGGTGGCTCACACCTGGAATCTCAGCACTTTGGGAGGCCAAGATAGGAGGATTGATTGGGCCCAGGAGTTCAAGACTAGCATGGAGAACACAGAGAGACCCCGTCTCTACAAAATATAAAAAAAAATCAGCTGGGCGTGGTGGTATATGCCCCTGTGGTCCCATTTACGTGGGAAGCTGAGGTGGGCGGATCGCTTGAGCCTGGGAAGTTGCGGCTGCAGTGAGCCATGACTGGGTCACTGCATTCCAGCCTAGGCCACAGAGTGAGACGTCTCAAAAAAACAAAAAAAAAAAAAAAAAAAAATTGGCCAGGCACGGTAGCCCACGCCTGTAATCACAGCACTTTGGGAGGCCCAGGCGGGCAGATCACAAGGCTTGAGACCAGCCTGACCAACATGGTGAAACCCCGTCTCTACTGAAAATACAAAAAAAGTTAGCTGGGCGTGGTCGCGTGTGCCTGTAATCTCAGCTACTCAAGAGGCTGAGCAGGAGAATCGCTTGAACCTGGGAGGTGGAGGTTGCAGTGAGCCAAGATCGTGCCACTGCACTCCAGCCTGGGCGACAGAACACGACTCTGTCTTAAAAAAAAAAAAAATTAAAGATTGGCTGGTGTGTGGTGGCTCACGCCTGTAATCCCAGCACTTTGGGAGGCTGAGGCAGGCAGATCACTTAAAGTCAGGAGTTTGAGACCAGCCTGGGTAACATGGTGAAACCCCATCTCTACTAAAAATACAAAAATCAGCTGGTCATGATTGTGTGTACCTATAATCCCAGCTACTCGGGAGTCTGAAGCATGAGAATCGCTTGAACCTGGGAGGCAGAGGTTGCAGTGAGCCAAGATTGTGCTACTGCAGCACTGCAGCCTGTGTAACAGAGTGAGTCTCCATCTCAAAAAAATAATAAAATAAAATTAAAAATAATAATGGTAGCAAAAGGTTATCTGGCACATACTATGTGCTAAGCTCTATTCAAAGCATGTGTAGATATAATCTCATTTAATCCTCACAGCAACCCTACATGTTACACATTATAATTATCTCCACTGTTGTAGCCGAGGAAACTGAGACTCAGGTTTAAGAGCTGGCACGGTTAACATAGTAATGAGGCTGCAGCTCAAACCCAGGCATTCCAACTCCAGAATCCATGTTGCTAATGATGGACCAACTGGCTTGTAACAGTTCCACACTCAGCATCCTAGCCAGATTGTTGGTAAGATACCCTAGCTAATGCTCTGTGGCAGAACCTTTCCTCTGGGTTGATATACAAGTATTAATCAGAACCTCCGCATCCTCTGTCAGCACACTCACTTTTACTGTCTCCCTGGTCTTATCGGTCTTTTCCTAGGTTAGTCCTCGTGATAGAGAGACTTTGGGTATACCACTGTCTGCTTTATTCTTTATTTGTTTAAAGTTCAGCTTTGTATTGAACATATTATAAGAGATTTAGTCAAAATGACCAAAGTTCATGTCATCATCAGACCCCCACAGATTCTTGTTTCTTTGCTTCCACTTACTTCTTAGCTGGAGCCAGTGGAGGGGGCACGACCTCCTGCTGGTGCAGCACTAGCTGCTGGAGTAGGTTCACCAGCTGCTACACTGCAGATGAAGCTCCCAATTTTGACACTGCCCAGGGCATTTGCAAACAAGCCAGGCCAAAAAGGTTCAACATTTACACCAGCTGCTTTAATGAGGGCATTGATCTTATCCTCCAAGATGGTCACCTCATCTTCATGCAGTGAGGGCCAAGTAGATGCAGGCGTGCTCAGAGACGGGGGCCATGGCGTGGGCGAGTGTGGGGCTGGCGCTGCTGGACACAGTGTTAGTTGCGTGATGAAATGAGAGCCTCACCCCAACACGGCTCAGCTTCCTCAGAAAGACCAGGCACTGTGACAGCAGCTGAGGAAAGGGTAATCTGCTTTATTTCTGTAATTTACCATGTACTAGTCTTCTGACCCTGTCAAAAGAAAGGAAAGTGGGGGCCTTGCACTGTGAACTGCCTGGTGGATGTGTGTTTAGATCTGTCACTCTGTGTGACTGATAAATGTTGAATGCCAAGGAGAAAAGGATGAGCCAGTGTCACCAGTTTGTGAACTTGTCCTTGCTCTTAATTACTAGATTATCTGTTTAGGTGGCAAGAAAATCATCTAAAAGACAAATATTTTAGAATGCTGACCAGAATTGTTATCAGGCTTACAGATGGCCTTTCTTTTTTTGTGGGGGGACCTGAGTCTTGCTCTGTCATCCAGGCTGGAGTGCAGTGGTGCAATCTTGGCTCACCACAGCCTCGGCCTCCTGGGTTCAAGTGATTCTCCTGCTTCAGCCTCCTGAGTAGCTGAGATTACAGGCGCCTGCCACTATGCCTGGCTAATTTTGTATTTTTAGTAGAGATGGGGTTTCTCCATGTTGGCCAGGCTGATCTCGAACTCCTGACATCACGTGATCCACCTGCCTTGGCCTCCCAAAGTGCGGGGATTACAGGCATGAACCACCACGCCCGGCTGCCCTTCTTTTCAAAAAGGACTGTTACTATTATTTTCTATCTCCAGTCTTTAACAGTTTATTATTTACAGCTCCTCAAGTGTCACCAACAAAAATATGCTCTCGTTTTCAAATGCTCTCGGAACCCAGAGATGAATTTGTGCGAGCATGGAGAGCTAGAGGTACCAGAGCAGCCAGGAACTGAGATTCAAATCATTTCACCGTTGTATGGTTTACTCTCATCCTCTAGTCTTTGTCTTGCCCTTGAAGTGGGAAACTCTTGACAGAGAAATACCCTGTATGAACTGAAGAAGCCTACTTTATAGATTTTCCTTCTTGCCTAATGTGTTGAGTAGGATACTGCTATATTGGGTATTTTAGTATGATGGATGGTCTCTATTCTCTGAAAATGCATGATGAAATGAATACTTAACTTTAATAGGAGATAATCATGTCTTAAGGGAAGTACTAACAGAACTGCTTTCAAGTCTGGGATTTTTTTTTTTTTTTTTTTGGCAAGACCTGTTTTTCATGGTGGAAAGGATAACTTATATTAAAGAACCAGTGGGCCCACCATGGCACATTTAGCCCTCACGGGGAAGTAGAACTAAATGCAACCCATCAGCAGCCAGCACAGCCTCACTTCACCTCATTGCATCTGAGCACTGCTCAGTGTTCCCAAGGACATCAGTGACTTTATTTTTTTGAAAACCTTAATGCTTTAAAATTTACTTTATTGGATCTCTTTGCAGCTTTTAACATAGGGAACCACTTTCCTTTTCCCAAAATGCTTTCTTCTCTTGGCTTTCTGATACCATGTTCTCCTCTTTCCACTTCTCTGGCCATTTCCGTGTCCTTAGAAGCTCAGTCTTGCTTTGCCTGGCCCTTGATTGTTGGTTTTCCCCAGGGCTCACTTCTTAGTCCCTTTCTCCTCATGCTTTATAATCTGGGTCGTCTCATCTACTCTGGGGATATGAATGGTCAGTTGTATGCTCAAAACTCCCAAATTTGTACCTGCAGTGCAGCTTTTCCTGCCAAGCTCTACTTACATATCTTTGCAGACCTCATTACTTCTTGACTAACTTACTGGCTCCCTAAGCATCTAAAATTGAATTCATATTCTACCTTCCCACACAAAAAGTTCTTCCTTCCCTACCACAGTTGCCCTCACTCTGGCCATCACTATCCTGGCCTCTCTGTCTCCTGTTGGGAGTTACTTCCTCCTGTCAAGTTGGCCTCCACCGTGGCTTTCACATGTCTACCTTCCCTTCTGCTAATTTCTGAGCAGTTACCACATTCTTGCTCAACAGTAGGTACTAGTCACCTGGATTGCTTATTAAATAGTTGAATTATGGGGCCCTAGGAATGTAGAAAATTTACTAAGCTACCCCAGGTGATTCTGATTTGTATGGCCTCAGGAAGCACCACACTGCACTGTAAGCTCCATAAGCCAAGGAAGGGGTATTCTGCAAATGTAGTATCTAAGGATTATCATTGGTTAACTATTGGAAATTGTCTTCATCTGACCATTTTTGATCAATAAGAAGGTAATCTTATGATTCAGCCAAATAACTGCTCAATTAAATATCTAATGAATGAATGACTCCTCTTCCACGCACTTCATGATAACAAGGCTCTGTTATTTCAGGCTCAGTTTATTTACCGTGTCACTTGGCTCATAAGTAAGACTATCATCCATGGCCATTGTTTCCTGGTTCTTCTGAAGACTTCTCTCTTTGTCAGTTTAAAGCCTCCCTGATCAACCAAGTTTGCTTCTAGGCACATGCGCTCTTCCCTCTTCTTTAATGTGCTCACCCTTTGGTTAAGAGTCCATCTTTCTTTGGTCTCATTAGAAATTTCACATTCTGGCTGAGCACAGTGGCCCATGCCTACAATCCCAGCACTTTGGAAGGCAGGTGGATCACCTGAGGTCAAGAGTTTGAGACCAGCCTGGCCAACATGGTGAAACCCTGTCTCTACTAAAAGTACAAAACTTAGCTGGACGTGGTGGTGGAGGCCTGTAATCCCAGCTACTTGGGAAGCTGAGGCAGGAGAATTGCCTGAACCTGGGCGGCAGAGGCTGCAGTGAGCCTAGATCATACTATTGTACTCCACCATGGGTGACAAGAACAAAACTGTGTCTCAAAACAAAGAAAAAATTTTCACATTTTTTGGGACATCATTTGCCCACCCACTTGCTTCCTGAATTCCTTTTTTCTCTCTAAAATTCTCAGCATCAAGTCAGGAATGACAGAAACACCATTTATGTCCTAAATTCTTCCCCTATAATAAAGGCACACTGCTTTATTATAGGTGGTTCACAGGTCTTATGCTGTTTTTCAAACTGCAGGTTACAAGTTGCACAGTCAGCAGAAATGAAAAGGATTAACAGTCTTTTTTTTCCAGCAGATATCCTGAGTTTCTAGTTAGCCATACAGGGAAACACACAGCCATTTTCGTAGTATCCACTGAGGCAGCTTTCCTCAGGATCTAATCCCAGGCTGCCTGGGTACTTGTTGTGGTCATCTCAGAGCCCAAGGTTTCTTCTTCATTAGAAAGCCTTGATTCCTGTTCTAAGAACAGCATTTTCCTATGTGTTTCTCCAGCAGTGCAAACTTTCTTCCCCTTTTTCTGGGTTACATTGCTCCTTTATTTATTCACTCTTTTTTTTTTTCCTTTTTTATTAACAGATGGGAGAGTCTCACTGTGTTGCCCAGGCTGGCCTCAAATTCCTGAGCAGTCCTACTGCCTCAGCCTCCTGAGTAGCTGGGGGACCAGAAGCGTACCACTGCACCCAGCTTACTAATCCTCTTTTGATGTTCCTACTTACCTATTTCCTGATTTCCTTTTAAAAAACTAAGCCTGGGCAACAGAGTGAGACGCCATCTCAAAAAATGTTCTTCCATTTTATCTTCACTCAATGAGTGAAAAACAAAGGTGGGGATCATGGAAAATAAAGAGATTAATTTCATTATAGGAATTTTTTGAGACTTTAGTTTGGTATATATGATTATCACATCTTAATTAACTTAAATTTTGCTTAAATATAGCAGCTGCTCAGCCAGGAACTGAGATCTTTAATCTGCCAGCAGTTACTACATCAGGTAAGATTGTAAAGACATTATTTACCAATACAAAATTGGTACAGCAGTAGTCAGTCCAACAAATGTACCGAGTAGCAACTGTATGCCAGGGAAGTGACTGCTCCAGTATGAAAAATGAATAAGTAATTTAGTGAAGGAAGGTTTAGTCAGTAGCACAGAAAGGAACTGAGATCCAATAAATCCCTATGGAAAAGATAAATGAACAAAAAGAATGGAAACTATTAAAGAACAGTGTCAGAAACTAGGGAACTGGGAAAACTGTTGAGTAACTTTAATAGAAGTATGGGTGACTGATTCACTTCGGAAAGAAATTTCCTTAAGGAGTTATTTGTGGATTAAGATGATCTCTGGGCCAGGCGTGGTGGCTCCCAGCACTTTGGGAGGCCAAGGTGGGCGGATCACCTGCAGTTGGGAGTTTGAGATCAGCCTGACCAATATGGTGAAACGCCATCTCTACTAAAATTACAAAATTTTCACTGGGTGTGGTGGTGGGTACCTGTAATCCCAGCTACTTGGAAGACTGAGGCAGGAAAACCCCTTGAACCTGGGGGCGGAGGTTGCAGTGAGCCGAGATCGTGCCACTGCACTCCAGCCTGAGTGCGACAGAGTGAGACTTCGTCTCAAAAAAAAAAAAGATGGTCTCTGTGTGGTGGGTCCTGGTATTGTTCTAGGTGACTTGCCAAGTGCTATATGTATTCCGTGGGCTGAAGCGACTGTTCACGTTTGTTTCCTGATTGGCCTTTCAGAAATGACGTGGAAATGCTTTTGATTCTCTTCCAGGCTCAGTTAGTTCTAGAGGCCATTCTTTTGCTGATCCTGCCAGTAATCTCGGGCTGGAAGACATTATCAGGAAGGCTCTCATGGGAAGCTTTGATGACAAAGTTGAGGATCATGGAGTTGTCATGTCCCAGCCTATGGGAGTAGTGTCTGGTACTGCCAACACCTCAGTTGTGACCAGTGGTGAGACACGGAGAGAGGAAGGGGACCCATCACCTCATTCAGGTATAGCTTTCATTTTAGTGCTTTTCTGCTGCTTTTCCCCCCAAAGCCAGTTTATTTCCCAAGTTCCAGTGCATCACTGAGAGACTTCATTTATGTCTTTATGTGCTCAGAGTCACCTCTTAGCATTTCAGTTACTTAAAAAATGTTTTTAAAAACTTACCAAGACATTATAATGACATGAACAGAAATAAAAAGGAAGAAAATTACACAAAGTGTCACCCTCCTGGGATGTCCATTTTTTTATTTGTTTGCATCTAGTCCTCATCTATACATACTACATTGTAATTGTAACACACATATTATGTTTTTGAATAAAAATGATTTAACTGCAAAAATTAGGCTCAGTATAAAACAATTATAAGCTGGCGGGGTGTGGTGGCTCACACCTGTAATCCCAGCACTCTGGGAAGCTGAGGTGGGCAGATCCCGAGATCTAGAGAGGGAGACTCCCATTCTGGCCAACATACTGAAACCTGTCTCTACTAAAAATACAAAAATGACCGGGCATGGTGGCGCAGACCTGTAATCCCAGCTACTCGGGAGGCTGGGGCAGGAGAATCGCTTGAACCCAGGAGACAGAGGTTGCAGTGAGCCGAGATCACACCACTGCACTCCAGCCTGGCGACAAGACTCTGTCTCTAAATAAATACATTAGCCAAAGAAAAGATTAGGAAAAAAGATGTAATCCTAGCACTTTGGGAGGCCAAGGTGGGTGGATCACTTGAGCTCAAGAGTTCAGGACCAGCCGGGCACGGTGGCTCAAGCCTGTAATCCCAGCACTTTGGGAGGCCGAGGCGGGTGGATCACGAGGTCAAGAGATCGAGACCATCCTGGTCAACATGGTGAAACCCCGTCTCTACTAAAAATACAAAAAATTAGCTGGGCATGGTGGCGCGTGTCTGTAATCCCAGCTACTCAGGAGGCTGAGGCAGGAGAATTGCCTGAACCCAGGAGGCGGAGGTTGCGGTGAGCCGAGATCGCGCCATTGCACTCCAGCCTGGGTAACATGAGTGAAACTCCGTCTCAAAAAAAAAAAAAAAGAGTTCAAGACCAGCTTGGGCAACAGAGTGAAAAACCCCATCTCTCCCAAAAATACAAAAAATTAGCTGGGCCTGGTGGCTTGCGCCTGTAATCCCAGCTACTTGTGGGGGCTGAGGTGGAAGGATCACTTGAGCCCAAAGAGGCAGAGGTTTCATAGAGCTGGGATTGTGCCACTGCACTCCAGCCCAGGTGACAAAGTAAGACCCTGTCTGAAAAAAGGGAAGGAGAAAACCTAACTTTTCAAGTTACACCATGCAGAATGCTAGTGCTTCTATCCGATAAGCATTGTTTCAGACATGTCTCAGTATAAGATTTTATACATTCTGTTAAAAACAAGCGCAGAAAAAAAAAATCCTAAGTTTTAATCTTACAACCCTTTTCTTAATATTTTGAGAACTAGTATCTCTTGCGCTTTTGAAAATTACTTGAAATTCAGCAGTTTCTGTTTTAGTTTAGATATTGTGTTTAAGAAAAAGATTAAAAAGATTAGAGGTCTTTAAAAAAAACACCAAAAAACCTATATACATGTTAACTTTAAGACCTCATCAGTTTACTTCCTGCTCTGAAAAATAAGCATCATCTTCCTCTTTCTGTTCTTACCTTCCAATTTTTATTGGCTTTAAGTGTGTGTGTGTTTTAAGGTTATAAGACTGGTGACTTAGGCAGTTACACTGTACGGGTTGTATGGGAATTTGGGGCAGTGTGAAGTTGTTCTGCTGGGGCTAATATTTGCTGGTGACCTGGGCTCTGATCTCTTCTGAGATCTTTTTCACGTTTTCTTCTAGAGCACAGTCAGAGGTGTCTCACTTATGTGAACTTCTGCTGAGTTCATCAGCTGCAAAGTCTGGGATAACAGAAAGGGCTACCAACACTTGCTGGGCCTCTGCTCAAGTCCTGTAGTAGCATAAAGAAGCTTTGTTTTGCACTTTTTCCTTTACATACTGTTTCTTTGTGTGGTGTGTTGTTAACTCCAGTTGGAAAGGGGGGTTGGTCATTGTGAGGTATGATTTTTGTCACCCTGCCTTCTTTCTTTAGTAGTTTCTGTACTCTGAGGCCAGTAAAGAAGCCTTGAAGTTCCAGAAATTTCAGTTCCTTAATAACCACATTTTAAAATTAATGGCAGGAGGACGACCCTGGTTTTTTGTTTTGATTGCTACAAGTGAAATTCTGGCTTTCTTTTAAATACAAGCATACCTCGTTTTTTTTTTTTTTTTGTGTGTGTGTGTGTGTGTGTGTGTGTTTTAACTGTAGGTTTGTGGCAACGCTGCAAGTCTGTCGGCACTATTTTTCTAATAGCATGCATTCTCCTTTTTGTCTCTGTCACATTTTGGTAATTCTCACAATATTTCAAATTTGTTCATGATTATTATCTCTGTGACTGATCAGTGATCTTTGATACTGTAATTGTTTTGGGCACCATGAGCAGCACCCGTATAAGATGGCAGACTTGGCTGGGGCGCAGTGGCTCATGCCTGTAATCCCAGCACTTTGGGATGCTAAGGCAGGCGGATCACCTGAGGTCAGGTGTTCGAGACCAGCCACGGAGAAACCCCATCTCTACTAAAAATACTGAATAAGCCTGGCTTGCTGGCATATGCCTGTAATCCCAGCTACTCAGGAGGCTGAGGCAGGAGAATCACTGAACCCAGGAGGCGGAGGTTGCGGTGAGCCAAGATTGTGCCATTGCACTCTAGCCTGGACAACAAGAGCAAAACTCCATCCCAAAAAATAAAAATAAAAATAAAAAATGGCGGTGTGTTTCCTGACTGCTCCACTGACAGTTGTTCCCTGTCTCTCACCTCCTCTGGCTTCCTTATTCCCTGACATACAACAATACTGAAATTAGGCCAGTTAATAACCCTATGATGGCTTCTGAGTGTTCAAGTGAAGAGTCACAAGTCTCTCACTTGAAATCAAAAGTTAGAAATGATTAAGCTTACTTAGTAGCTTAGTGAGAAAGGCATGTTGAAAGCCAAGACAGGCAGAAAGCTAGACCTTATGCACCAAACAATTGGTCAAATTGTAAATGCAAAGGAAAAGTTTTTGAAGAAAATTAAAAGTGTTATTCCAGTGAACACACAAATGGTAAGAAAGTAAAACAGTGTTTTGTGATACACAGAAAGTTTTAGTGGTCTGGATAGAATACCAAAGACCAGCCACAACATTCCCTTAAGCCAAAACCTAATCCTGTTCCAAGCCCTAACTCCTCAGTTCTAATGAGAGAGGCGAGGAAGCCATAGATGAGAAGATTGAAGCTAGCAGAGGCTGGTTGAGAGGCTGAAGCTTTCTCCCTAACATAAAAGTGCAAGGTGAGGGAGAAAGTGCTGATGAAGACTCTGCAGCAAGTTACTCAGAAGACCTAGCTAAGAACATTGATAAAGGTGACTACATTAAACAACAGATCTTCCATACAGACAAAACAGCCTTCTACTGGAACAGGCCAAAACTTCAAAAGACAGGCTGACTCTCTTGTTAGGGGCTAATGCAGGTGTTGATTTTAAGTTGAAGCCAGTGCTCCTCTACCATTCTGAAAATCCTAAGGCACTTAAGAATTATGCTCGGTCTACTCACCTGTGCTCTAGAAACGGAGCAAAGCCTAGACGACAGCATGTGTTTACAGAATGGCTTGCTGAATATTTTAAGCCCACTGTTCAGACCTACTACTTAGAAAAAAAGTATGACTTTCAAAATATTACTGCTCATTAACAACGTATCTTAATCACCCAAGAGCTCTTTAGGAAAGGTTCAAAGAGATGTTGTTTTCATGCCTGCTAACACAACATCCATTCTGTAGCCCATGGATCAAGGAGCAATTTCCACTTCCAGGTCTTATTATTTAAGAAATACATTTTAGGCCGGGCGCGGTGGCTCACGCCTGTAATCCCGGCACTTTGGGAGGCCGAGGCGGGTGGATCACGAGGTCAAGAGATCAAGACCATCCTGGTCAACACGGTGAAACCCCATCTCTACTAAAAAACTACAAAAAATCAGCTGGGCATGGTGGCGCGTGCCTGTAATCCCAGCGACTCAGGAGGCTGGGGCAGGAGAATTGCCTGAACCCGGGAGGCGGAGGTTGCGGTG